TCAACCTGTTTTTGGTAGTTGCACACCTTTCATGTGTACAATACACATTTTTATTAGTTTGTGCATTAATATAAGGTTTGCCCTTTTTATAAGGGATATTTTTTATTGGTTGCTATGAATACCTAATTTTGCATAGCAGCAACCTATTTTAATAGTTGCAGATTTTTTATGAGTTCTATATTCACTAAACTTTGTTATGAGTACCAATATGAAGCTGCAAAATTGATAATTTAAACTTATATTACTTAACAACCAGATACTTTCCTTAGTTACACAGAGTTACATGATTTTTAAAATATATTTTTATCAAATTTTCAACTATCTTTTTTTTAAAATAATTAAGTATTAATGTAAATAATTTTAGGTAAAGATTTAGATAATTAATATTAAAAACAAAAAGTAGTGCAAGAAAACATTGGCGATTCAAAGTACATCTACAGTTTATAAAACATACATACATAAAATAAGAAATCATATTTTGGGTCAACACATATTTAAATAATAAAATTAAATTTTTATACTATGGCCTATTCTAATATCAATTTATTACAGCTTAAAATAGCATTAATAGCCATAACTGTGGCTAAGTATTACTTTTTAAATGATAAAATGTAATAAAATCAGTACTGTTGTTATACAAAATTAACTATATAAATAAAAATATGACTTCCATAAGAAATCTGAATTTCATTTTATTACACACGCTTATTATTAAGACAATTCTAATCACATAGTTTCACTCCTTGATTTGTGTCTTATCTCTGAACCTAGTTTGTGTTCATTTTCTTCTTGTTCTCCTTTAGGTGTTTTAGATCATGCTATGATCTCACTAACACTTGATAGTTCCAACATATGATAGTTCTTGTTCTCCTTTATGTCCATTATTTTTTATTATATTTTGTATTTTACCTTAGAAGTTATGTTCTAGAGGCTTTTCAAAAATCAAGCATTTATTTTTAAAAATTTAACAATGACATTATAAAAGGCTAGCATTCTGCATTTCATGTATGGATCTTATTAACTCTTTTAAGGTAGAATTATTTGTAAACAACTTTTCATCAAACCTATCTATTGAATCTAATTTAAGTACTCTTCCATGTCGTCTTAAAAAACTGGTTGATCCACTTGAAAAGTTCAAAATTACTTTCAAATTACTTTTGCTTCTGCTAAAATTATTTTTTACTAGAAGTTTTTTATAACTTGTTCAAGTTCCTATTAGATTTATAGTGATTGAGTTGAAAGGTTGTAGTAATTTAAAAGTAATACGTAATTGTAAAACCATATAAAGTTATCTGGAGCAATCGCTAGGTGCTATATTTTAGTAATCTGTAAATCAAAATAATTTATAACAAGTATTTAGCTGATGCATCTTCCTACAAAGAAGTTGTTTTTCAACTCAAACTCCAAACACTATGAGAAGATGTTTAGTATTACACATAAAATTTATTAAACTTAAATTATCAATTTATCAAAGGTTCTTAATTTTTATTAGCTTTGCTAAACTTTTAGTTGGAATGAAGTTTTATCATGTTATCAGTTTATATATTTTTCATATTGAGAACTAATCAATTTTAGATTTCTATTACAACCTTTGCTCATTTATTTTGAGAATAAGAGATCTTAAACAATTGAAATACTATTGACCAGTAATGGTATTCCCCTTTTCAACATATATACTGAATAAATGACACCTACCATTTTGAAATCTTTTATTTTATAATAGATTACAAAAGAGTTTTCCAGAACTCTCTAAATTAAATTATTTCTAAAATAGAATCTAGAAATATAATGATAAAAAAATTGTTTTTTTGCAGTTGAGTTCATTTTCATAATTTATTTTAAATTGTTAAATACCTAATGCTTTAAAATGTTTTTGTAATAAATGCTATGGTGTTTTTTAATAAACACTATGGTCTTCTGTAATAAACACTGTGGTGTTCTGTAATAAACCCTATGTTGTTTTGTAATAAACAATATAGTGTTCTAAAAAATCATATATTATATCCAAGAATTTTATTTTTTAGTTATACTTTTAGTTTTTTAGTGATATCAAAAAAAATAATATTGAGGAATTTGAGTTTTGAAAAACTTCAACATATCCACAAAACTGGATTTTCCTTGAAAAAAAGACTTTTCTAGAAAACTCAAAGATTTTTCTCGTGAACAGCAAGAAGAAATAATAAAAAATAATAAAATAAACAAATAATAATAAATAAAAAAAAAAATTAAATTCAGTTCAGTTCAATCAAAATTATATGCTGCGTGATTAATTTTTCGGAAAATATTTTGAGAGAAAAATTTAAAAATGCATCTCATTTAGAAAGCAGGAAGATTTTAGTTCACAGGACGAATAGTAATCAAAAAGTGAGAGAATTAAAAATTAAGTTTGATATTTCTTTAGAATTAATTGAGATTTAACCAGTAAATATAAAAAGTGTTGTAGTGTCGAATCACTACAAAATGCCTGCTGTAAAACAAAGGCTTGGCAACACTATAAACAGTTACAATAATGATTTTGTTAACATATGATATCGATAAAGCCTCTTGTGAACAGCAAGAAGAAATAATAAAAAACAATAAAAGAAAGAAATAAAAGAAAAAATAAAAAAATTAAATTCAGTTCAGTTTAATCAAAATTGCTGCATGAGTAATTTTTCGGACAATATTTTGAAAAAAAATTAAAAAATGGATCTCATATAGAACGTAGGAAGATTTTAGTTCACAGGAGGAATAGTAATCAAAAAGTGAGAAAAAATTAAGTTTGATATCGTTATGAATAAAAATCTCCATCATAAAAAAATAGTGATGAAAAGAAAAGAGAAACTCTAATTACACCAATAATTATGTTTATTGATTTTTCATAAATGTCTTAAAAATCACAAAGAAAAATTTACTTGACGACAAAATGTTGCAGTTGGAAAAACTTTGCTTAAGTCAAAAAATAAAATAAAAAGCAAGTTCATTTATTATTTATAGTATTTTTTTGATTACAATATTTTTGTGTCGTAAGTATTTTGTATTGTAAGTATTTTTTTTTTTTTGATTAATATGCAGCACAATTTAAAGATTTTAAAAACTTTATTAATTTTTGCTGTCACATTAGAGACTTTGATTTAAATGCTAAATGGGTACTTTTTTCTACCTGCCATCATAAAATCCCCCTGTATTGTTATTGGTGGGACTGTTAAAAAAGTATTTTGTCAAAAATGTCAAAAACAAGTAACTAATAGCCAGAATTTGTATGTTAATTATAAAATAAACTAATGGACAGATTTGGATGTTAATCTACTTGGTAGATTAACATCAAGCAAATTAAAAAAATATATATTTGAATAAAAGAACAGTTTCTGGCACAACCAGGTATCATCTTTTTATTCCTATTAATTCAAGCACAATAAGTTATAAAAAAAACTAGTGGGGATACACATACTGAAGTGTTAGGTATTATTCTAAAAAATAATAATAATAAAGAGATTTCATTAAACATAAAAAAAATGAAATATACTGCTTATTTTTATGATAAAACAACTGTGAAACATATGGGTTACATATTTTTTTGTGTGGATGATTTTATATGATTTATAATGATCCATTAGCAATTTGTGACTAGCAAGTTTTAACTACTGCAAAACTTAATTATCAGCTCCTGGTAATGTTTCTTCTCTTAAACATGTTATATACTCCTGATTACTCTTGATATTATCTTTATCTCTAAATATATATCTTATTCATTCTTATACTAATTACTGTTGTCATTGATGGACTAGTTCTTCTAATGAGATTCCCTTTCTTATAGACAAGATCTGAAAATGCATTTTAATTGTTGTTATCATGTCAATTCACTCAAGCTGCTAAGCTTTATAAACGAGTTCGATTCCCACCACGTCCCTGGTAGTACAGCGCTCACTTTGTTTCTCCGCGCAGCGGCCTTATTCATCAAGGTTCGTGTTTCGAAGTTATAGAGTTGAGAGAGGGTTGTTACTACAAATAAGTACCCTCCTCGTCTGTAATGGACTTCTCAGCCTTGAGGAGGTGAATTAAAAAAAAAAAAAAAAAAACCTAAGCCACTGATTCATTTTTGAAGAGCAGCTTTCATCTTCAAAGAGCAACTTTCATCTTTTTTCTCTTTTCAACAAATATTATCATGGTTCCTGCTCAAGCTGTTTATATACTTGTTCTTAAGTCACATCCTATTACTATACCTGTTTCTTCATTCTTTAAAAAATTATCTAGTTATTTATTGCAAACATCAGTGCTTTAGAGTTCTCTCACACCTTATGTTTTCCTGACACATGAGTAATGGCACAGGCAATTATATATATATATATATATATATATATATATATATATATATATATATATATATATATATATATATATATATATATATATATATATATATATATATATATATATATATATATATATATATATATATATATATATATATATATATATATATATATGTATATATGTATATATATGTATATATATGTATATATATATATATATATATGTATATATATATATATATATATATATATATATATATATATATATATATATATATATATATATATATATATATATATATATTTGTATTGTGGATTGTTTTTTATTTTCTCTCTATATGTGCATATTAGGGGATGCCAAAAAAAAAATTTTTTAGTCGCGGTTTAAAAACCTGTTCTATGATCTATTCTATGTTCTTAGATCTGAAAATGCATTTTAATTGTTGTTATCATGTCAATTCACTCAAGCTGCTAAGCTTTATAAACGAGTTCGATTCCCACCACGTCCCTGGTAGTACCGCGCTCAATTTGTTTCTCTGCGCAGCGGCTTTATTCATCAAGGTTCGTGTTTCGAAGTTATAGAGTTGAGAGAGGGTTGTTACTACAAATAAGTACCCTCCTCGTCTGTAATGGACTTCTCAGCCTTGAGGAGGTGAATTAAAAAAAAAAAAATAAGCAAAAATATGAATTTTTAATGTTCTATCTCAGTTCTAGGTGCCAGAAGATTAAACCAGGGTTTTACTAAGAAAATACTAGAGAAGATATTAAGAATGAATTCATTTCAACAATGGAACAGTTGTTTGACATAGGCAAAGATAACTTAGAGTAACTGATGAGAAGTGACAAATTAACACCAAGAACACCAGCTGCTATTGAAGAAGACCTAAATTTCTATCTAGACCAGCAAATAGATAGGTAAGAATATTAATTATAATGTAGCCTTTTTGTAAATTTCTCTTATGTAGAGCATTCAGTCTGTCTGTCTGCTTTCAACTCTCCATCTGTCCCTCCATCAGTGTAAGTTATTGCATTCTAATGTTATGTCTTTTGATTTAAGGAAGTGGTTTATTTCTAAGCCAGATGAAGGGCTAGCTACCATTATTGCGAAACCCATAGAAAGGTATAAGAGACAAGAACAATTGAGAATGAAGTACCTAGAGGAAAAACAAGCTGAAGAAAGATGTAAATCAGCTCCCCCACCATTTGATGAAAATGATGAAGACTTGACGCCAACTAAGAAAAGGTAAATCAAGTGTCATAAAACTGTTAAAAAACATTTTTCTTAGAAATGAAATCCTAACTTATTTTTTTAAATATTTTAGATACATATCTGGTCCAGGCAGTTTGGATATGGATATGTTTGATCCAACTTTGACAGATCAAGAAGACTCATTCGAAGGTAGTGATGATGACTTTGAATATGGTGCTGCTCAAGTTAAAACCCCAAAAGTCTTACCTAAAGGCTCAATGCAAGTAAATAAAAAGATCACAAGAGAAGAACTGATGGCAGTAACTACACCTATTTGTGCTAGAGGGTTAATCAGCATTGAAATACAAACCTGGCTGTTATCATCTGTTGTTAATTACCTGGGAGGAGATGTTAATCAGATGGGCATTTCTAAATCCAGTATTTCAAGAGAAAGAACAAAAGTAATTGAAAATCAAGGTAATTTTTAAAGGGGCAAGAGATATTACACCTAAAGAAAAAGATATGCGATATTTCTTGTTCCTGATTTTCTAATGTAAATTTATTATAAATGAAAGTTATGATACAAAATCTTACTATACCTTTAAAGAGTGGTCATATTTACCTAAAAATAAACCATCATAACAATATAATATTGTATTAAAAAATTATCTTTATTTACTATTTAGGTTATTTCAATCAGAGAAAATTAAAGAGAGATAATGGCTGGAAAACACCTTGTTCTCCACTGTGATGGCAAGCTGTTAAAATATTTAGATGAAAATACCTTGCAATCTGTTGTAAGAGATGCTGTCAGTGTTACCAGCCCTGATTTTGAAAATAAAAATCTTTTACTTGGTGTTTTACCTGCAGAGTCTGACAAAGCTGTTGATTAAACAGAAATTATTCACAACTTACTTGAGTCCTTTGAAATATGCAATGAAATTTTCGCAATTGTTGCAGATACTACAAATGTTAATACAGGAGCTCATGCAGGAATTCTAACCAGATTGTGCTATATTTTGGGAAAACCTGTTCTCTGGCTGTTATGCAGACATCACATGTTTGAAATAGCAATACAAGGGCAATTGTAATTGTCCTTGGAGTTACTGCTGGAGTTGCTGCTACGATGCACCACATCGACAGTTCTATAAAGATTTCAAGAAGTACTGGAATATATCACGCTATAGTTCAAAAAGTTGACCTATCTGAGTTTAAGAAATTTAATGAGAAGAAGCTGGAAGTTGGATCTGAACTTCATAAGCTTTACCTGGATACTCAGGAATATCTGAAGTTTGCTCTTAATTACGAAGTGTTTCCAAGCGATGATTACAATCATCTAATAAAGTATGCTGCATTTTATTTAAATGTCTCATCACCAAAGCTGAATGATTTTAAAATTCATCAACCAGGAGTCAATCACAATGCTCATTTCATGGCTGACAGTCTTTACAATTTAGCATTTGTTATGGCATCAGGTATAATAGATTTTCTGCCTAAAGATCTGTTACCCCACCTGGAAAAGTGAGCTTTTATATGTGCAGTTTTTAATGCTTCATGGTATTTACATTCATACAAAGCAGAATATGCTGTTAAGAATGATTACCTGTCATTCAAGTCAGCTTATGTTATACAACAAGAGTTTGATGTCAGAATTGGAAATGCATTTCTGAAATTTTTTCAACAATACTCTTGGTACCTTGCCCCAAAGGTTGCTGTGTTAATACTTGCAGATCCAAATTTTGAAGAGAAGCTTGCAGTTCTGGACAAGCTGTTGACCTTTGAGGTACCAGATATCAACACTACTCTCAATGGTAAACCTGATGCTGTTCTAGTTTTACCTACCTCTGAAATAACAGAGTTGATTACAGAGGAAAGTTGGACTGTTCATTGTTCTAGGCATACAGGATGAAAGTCCTACCTGGAAAACAGATTTAGCTGCTGGAAAGCTAGAAGAAAATGATTCATATGTATCATTTTGTGAGTTTGTTAAATCTCTAAATGTTACAAATGACCCAGCAGAGCGGAATATCAATATAATCCAAAGATATATAAGTAGTAGTATAAAGGAGGACAAAAGACAAGTTATTCTGCTTGTTGTGCGAGAGCACAGGGCATTAATATCAAAAGGAGCAAAACAATTAAAACTGGCCATATTGTAAAAAACTATTTATTTCAGAAAAAAACAATGGTTTCTCGTATTTGTGTAAAAACCTAAAATCATCTTCCAGCACTAAATATGGTCCTAGAGAGGTAAAATTTGGTTTATATACTTTTTTTTATGTATAGAACAGGTATTTATACCGCGACCTTTCATTTTCTGAAAATTGTGATATTTTGGTACCCCCTAGTGCAAATATGGTTTGTGTGTGTATATATACATAAACCAAATAGGAGTGTTAATTCTATTAAATGCAGGGTCCCTGTAATCTTTTTTTTTTTTTTTTTTTTTTCTATACGCTTTACTATAATGGCTTTATTTTATTCTGAACATTTGTTTAATATATCTTTTTAATTTTTTTATTCTTTCTCTCTTTTTAATTTTTTCCTTATTTCACTTGGGTTTGACAGCTTGGTCTACTCTTTTGACGCATTTTTTGCATGTTTAAAAAAAATTTATTTAGTTATTTTAGCAAACATCAGTGCTTTAGAATTCTCTCACACCATTAAGTTTTTCTAACACATATAATTATGGCATGTGAAATTTTTTTTTCTTAAATTTCATTAAAATGTTTAGCCATTTGCAAAAAAAATAAATAAACAAAAATATAAATTATCACATATTTTCATTATTATAAATTCATAAAGTATTAGTTTAAACAAAATATGTATCAAATTTAATTGTGATAAAAAAAAAATCTAGCGATTCAAAAAATGCTTTAAAAATAATATTTAAGTTTTTGTATTTTATATATATATTTTTTTATAAAAAATAATTTTTTTTTGTTAGGCAGCTTCATTTGAAGGTAGATAGTGGTTGTTGAAGCAGTATGAGTTTGATGACACTATCCAACTTTTATGTGATATGCTTCAGTCATCGAATTTGATTTGACACATAATGCATCTTTTGCCATAGCAAGGTACATTTAAAAAAAAAAAAAATTCATAACAAAAGTAGTGTAGAACTAAGTTTTAAAAGTTTTTAGAAAAAACAATAGTGCCCAATGATTTCTATTGGTAAAAATCAAAGTTAAAGAAAGCAACCTAGAGTGATATTGTTTTGGGGGAGATTATTTCTTAAGTTGCACAATATTTTTTCAGATTTTATTGTATGTTTAATTTGATACATGGTGGTTAAACTTACTGTTTCAAAGATTTAAACAGAACAGAAACATAAAGTAACTCACAGACAAGTGTACGCCAGAGAGACCGTGTCCCTGGTAGTACCGTGCTCAACTTGTTTCTCTGTGCAGTGGCCTTGTTCATCAAGGTTTGTGTTTTTGAGTTATAGAGTTAAGAGAGGGTTGTAACCACAACTAAAGTAGCCTCCTCAATTATAGTGGCTTTCATGGCCTTGCGGAGGTGAATTAATATATTATTATTATTATTTTAATATAGCTGCAGCTTTTAATGCTGTTCTCTGACCAGGTGACAAATTTAACCTATGGCTATTGTTGATAATTTTGCATTCTTTAACAGGTTTTTTGGAAGCTTAAGTGTTACCATATATTTCTTCTTTGCCACACTTGTCAAACTTTTTTCTTTTACATGACATTAAAAAATCTTGCCTTCTGGTAAATTAACTGAATTGCTATCAATACTTTTAACTTCATTGTTGACCTGAAAATTCAACCATAGTGCATAAAACCTTTCCAGTATTACCTTGGTTGCGTATTAAATGTACATTATCACATTTTGGCATTCTGGTGGCAAGGCTTACATTATTTAAATTCAACCAAAAATTTTTGTTTTTGTTCAGTAAATCTACACTTTTTATATCATATTATCAAAAAAATATTGGTGCTTTACAAATTTAGGGTTGGTTGGGTTTTTGGCTATTTGTAGTGAGTCCTGTTTTACTGTAGTATGGAATAGGCGTAAGTCACGGGGTAAAGCATAAGTGGCGATGACGTTTGTTTGGTATAAACTAGTTATATATGCTGATCCTCATCAAAACACCAATAATAGACTCGACTCTGAGAAGATGTTTTTTACTTAATCATTACACAAATTATGTTTACATAATTTGTGTAATTATTATGTAAACATAATTAATGGTATAAACTAGTTATAAATGCTGATCCTCATCGAAACACCAATAATAGACTCGACTTTGAGGAGATGTTTATTACTTAATCATTACACAAATTATGTTTACACATTAGCATTAATGTTTTTTTCTCCATTATTAAATGCCTTTCATTGTTGTTAGCATATTTTTTATTTTGTGATCAGTTTTTTATTTTATAAGTTTTCTTTTTCTTTTTATTGATATTATTGTTGTGGGTGTATAGCCTGTCTTATTTATTTTTAAATATTCCTTTATTAATCTTTATTTTTGTCTTGACAACTGTTAAAATATGCTTTGTCTAATAAATAATTCTCCTTTATTTTAATGTACTTCATTCCTTCCCTCACTGCTCGTGTGTGACCATTTGGCGAATTTTATATGCCAAAGTTTTTAAATAAAATCCACTAATTGTTGAAAACAGAATTTGCTTGTTTTTCTTTTGATCCATTTTCTACCTCAATAAGACCTTAGTTCTCTTCATTTTATGCTTTACTTTTCTCATGTAGATCTTGTCTTCTACACACACACCTTTTTTTGAGCTTAAAGAGCACTGAGGAAATCAAGATCTTCATCCTTCATTTTTTTGGTACGAAATCTGTTGGTTTCTATTTCCGCTTGGGCATCTTAGTGTGATATGAAAAATTACTGTTTTTAATCCTCACTAAAAATCTTCTCTTTTTATTTGTTTGATTTGCACTCTTTGCTCTGCAGTGTCTACTTGATCTGTATATAAACTATAGTTTTCATATAGATCAAGATTCTTTACTTTTATCACGTCTTTACGTATTTCAATGCCGGTTTTAGCCCATTGCTGCTGAACTTCAATAATAACTTTGTTTGCCACAGCACCATTACAAATGCTTCTCATGTTTGCTTTTTCCTTTATTTGATTAATGAATTCTTCATTATTCCATCTTTCGAATCAAAGAAAAAGCGAATAATATCTCTTTTTGTGGGGACTCTGCAAGTTGGTAATTCCGATATGTGCTTTCCTGTCGGGCAGATATCATCATTCTTCCTCTGACTCATCTTACATATAATTACCATAGTGCATGAAACTTTTCCAATATTGCTTTAGATGCATATTAAATGTACATTTTTGCATGCTTACATTATTTAAATTCAACCAAAAATTTACTATTTTTATTTGCATGCAAACAAATGGGAAAAAAGGTAGAGAGCCTGTTTTTTACAAACTTTATTTTCAACCATTGGTATATATGTATATATATATATATATATATATATATATATATATATATATATATATATATATATATATATATATATATATATATATATATATATATATATATTATATATATATATATACTCATGTTTGGTCATTTAAAGTTTTTACCATAAAATGTCAGTTTTAGGTTGTTTTATTTTAAATTATTTTGAAGCTGGAAAAAATTAAAAACTTTTTTTTTAATTTTTCTTATTTGATAGACTGCCTACCCTAACCAAACCCTCAGTTGATGCAGCCGCACTCTGTTGCAAGTCACGCAATAAGATAGTTGATGTAGCAGCACTTCCTTGTAACAACAGGCTATAAGATAGTCAATGTAGCAACACTCCGCGCTTGTTTTACAGTAAAAATAAAAAATAAAAACAAAAAACATTCAGAATGTTTTTAAAAACATGTTTTATGAATATTAGAACATCAAAGTATGGAAAAGATGCTGTTTGGTATTGTTAGCTTTTTAAAGAATACTCACAATCAGATCTTGCTTTGTTTTGTTGTAAGTTTATTTGGTGTGCTTAACAATATAAATTGTTTTATTTTTGTTATAATTTTATGTTTTTTATCTATTTACTTTATTTTTTTTAATATTTAGTATAATTTTTTTATTTTTCAATACTTTATGAATAGGGTTAACTAATTTAGTTTATAGCTTCTTAAAGTCACTAATCATAAAAAAAGTGTTATGTTCAGGGATTATCTTTTTCTGGAAATTTCTATAAATACCGGATATTTTTTTCAAATTTTTCTGGATATTCAAAACATTGAATATCCAGAAAAACTTAAATTTGCAAAAAAATAAAAGAAATTGGTAACATCAAACCCTCTACAACAATTAAGTCTTACATTCTCAAGTCTAATGGTAGCACTATCTCAGACAGTATGGTTGTTGCTAAAATTTTAAACAAATACTATGAAACAATACAACACTCAACCAAAAGTAAACTGATTTCTTCTAAAAGTATCTTCTCTGACTATTTTAAAAATCCTAATTCTAATACTTTCTTTCTTAATCCAGTGACTGAAAATGAGGTGTCTGATTTAATAAAAAATAGTTTACAAAATGGTGAAAGTTTAGGTCCAAATAGTATCCCCACACATTTTCTCAAACTTACTTCTTATGTTATCTGTAAGCCTCTCTTTACCATATTGAGTAATTCTTTTAATAAAGGTCTTTTTCCAGATGTATTAGTAAACAACTATGTAATTTAAACTTTTATTTCAGAATATATATTGTTATTGTAAAAGCGAAATTAAAAAGTAAATAAGGGAAAACAAGTTCCGCATTTTTTGCAGATATTTTATTTTAACAATTTTTTGGGTTTTTAAAATATGACTAGGATGATCTAAGTATGTTGAAAGATAATAAAAATATAAAACTGACGATGATGGTAATTTTAATTTTTTTATATCTTTTATATTTATTTGTTTTTTGTATTTTTTATAATTATATTTTATTTCCTTACTTTTTAGGAAATCTGTAAAACATATAACTTTAACTCAGAAATTTAAGGCTAATTGACCAGTATTTTATTGAGTATAGCAGATCTTCCTAAACCCCCTCCACCTTTCAAAGTCAATGGTTGCATGTCTTTTAGTAATTGATAAAAGCGTTTTGTTTACATTCACTTATTCTGATTACCTTCAACTTATTTTCTTTCTTGTAATATTTTTTAGTTACAAACATTGTTTTTAAATCCATCTGCACTTTGTTGTGCACTTGTAATATTATTTAGTAAGTTGTATAATACAATGTTTGTGGTTGAGTTATGAGATTGAAATACAAATCTGTTAAAGTAAATAATGTAAAAATTTTAAAATCATAGCATTTTAAAATTTTTTTCAATCATGTCACAGTTTTTTATTCTAATGTACTCTTGTTGTCATTTTTGGCCTATCAAACCCTGACCCATTTTGCTTCTGTCACATTTGTTCAGTGTTTTTTTTTTTTTTTTGTGTGGTAGAAACATAAAAGTAAAAGCATGTTTTATAACTTTATAATATTTTTATTTTATAAAATATTCGATGGTGTTGAAATCTTCAAGTTGCATGGCTCAAGTGTTATTGTGGATGGATATTTTGCAAGCACTCATTTGCAATGTTTTACTCAAGTGAAGGTGCAAAATGTTCTTTAAATGAAGTAGTGTTTATTGACACTCCACAATCAGGTATAAAAATTTAATATTATTTACATTCTTTAATGTTTTTTGTATTATTTATTATTTCTTGTTATTTAAAAAAATCACATTAACTTGTAAGTTAGTTACAATTTACACCAAAGACACAAATGAAAAATTTTTATTAGTTTTAAAAAATATAATAAAACATAGAATAATTGTATAGCAAAGTCATTATTTCATTTATAGCAAGCACAGCTAAGTCATTATGTATAATTTTTTGTTATTTTTTGGCGCTTTTTTTTTCGTAATATTTCTGCTTCTTCTGTAAAATACACTACACCTAAATATTAGTTTGTGAGGGGATACTCAAATATTCATTATTTATTTATCAAAATGGACTAGAAATGCAAATGAGTTTTTTTTTTTTTTATTATTAAAGCAAAATATGAAACACATTTTATGTTTTGACCAAATCACAACATTTATTTGTTTTATTCATGTTAATTAAATTTTTTAAAATTTAATTACCATTAAAGTTGTTTGCAATTTAAATTAAAATAGATCATAACAATAAACATATATTAGGGCTGCATGGGATTTTATCTCCAACTCCAGCCAATTTTAGAAAATCCGGCTCCAGCAAAAAATTAGGAAATCCGGCAATGTTTGAGCCGGATTACTAAGTTCTGGTCAGGTATTTATTACATCTTTTTTTGCCTGTGCTTACATAAATACTCATCACTTCATTTATACAAATCAATGTAATTCTATATTCTATGAACTCCATGTTTGTAATATTATCCATGTTTGGATTTGTGGAGAGTCTTCAATGATGGCGGTCGTGTTTTTATAACGGAAAGATAAAGAAAAAAAGAAAAAAGAAATTTAAACAAAATTTTTAATAACTAAACAACAAATCTAATCAGTAAATAAAGTCGAATTTTGAATGAATTTTTAGCCACCTAAATTTAACTAAAAAAAAAGATAAAAAATAAAAAAGAAAAGAAAGAGATAAGAAAAAGAAAAACAGAAGAAACCAACAAAAAAATAGAAGAGAAGCAAAAAAAGATCTAGTTTTAGAAGATATTTTTGAGCTAGTTTTTGTTGTATTTATCACTTATTTTAATTATTAATTGTATTACATACTTATTTTATATTAGATTATTACTTACTCATTTTACTGTTTCATAATATATACTTATATCATTCTTTAACATGATATTTGTTTATTATTATTATTATTTTTTATTATTATATTAATTATTAATTATTATTATAATGTTACCATTACTTATTTTTATTAAATATTATATTTGTTAAATATTATCATTTTGTGTATGCATTTCGTTTTGTAGTTTTTTTATTGCTGTTTCCTGTTTTTCTATTTTACCAAATTTTCGACACCTTTTTTTTTTTCAATTATTTCGCAAAAATAACTAAAGTTTGTCCTTATTTTTTAATTTTTTTTTTTTTTTTTGTAGAAGTGTTTGTGTTTGTCTTTTCGTTTTGTTGTTTTTGTGTTTCATCTTGTTGTTTTTGTGTTTTGCCTTTTCGTTTGTGTAAGATTTGTTTTTTATTTGTTCTGTTTTGCTTATTATTTTTATTTTTATTTGCTGTTGCTATTAAGTATTTTCATATTTTTTGTCTTATTATTTAACTTATTGTTGTTTATTGTTATCGTTGTTTATCGTATCGCATTACCCTTGTTATTATTATTTTATTTATTTTCTTAGTGATTTTCGGTTCATATTTATTATTTTTATTATTATTTTATTATTATACTAATTGTTATAATTAATTGGTGTCACTCATTTTGATCATGAATGACACTTATGTCATCATATTATTTGTATTATAAATAATATTATTATTTTTAACTATTATTGTTATAATTATTTGGTGTCACTCCTTTGATCAGGCTTCTGTTTGAGTGACACCTTCCTTTTCAAATAATTATTTATATTTATTCTTATTAGTTATATTTTATTATAATTATATTGTTTGTATTATTATAAATAATATTATTATTATTATTGATATTATATGATTAAATGTAAATTTTGAAAAGGAAAATAAATATCTTGTTGTTGTTGTTGTTGTAATGTATTTACATTTCTTTAAAGTTTATTTAACTAAGCCTAATTTCAAACAACAACTCAACAAAAAATTCTGAAGAGAAGACACAATATTCTGAAGTAAAGATATGCAAAAGAGTCTGAAGTGAAGACACAAATGTGTTTTAATATACATTTAATAAAGTTACAGTGCAGAGGGTATTGATGCAAGATAGAAGTCCATCTGAGCATGCTGAGCAGTAGATTGACAAAATTGAATAAATTCTAGCAAAACAAATCCAGCTGGATGATTCTTCTATGTCATCACTTGGTATTGAGAATGGTCAATATTGTTGACCACTATCAATATCAAGTAGGAATATACAGGATTTCGGCTCCTATAATTTTTCGAAATCTGGCTCCGGATTTGTTTGTAGAAATTTGACAAATACAGCTCCGGCCAGGTTTGGTAAAGTTAAATCCGGTACAGCCCAAGTATATGTATATATAAGTATAAATATATAGAGAGAAATATGATACAAAGGTATAATGAAACAAAGCAGCAAGTAGTTAATTTTTTGTATTTATAACATTTCTTTTAATTGTAAAGACCTTTCATGTTCAACAATTGAACAATTTCATTCCAAAAAGTTCAGTTACCTCAATAATGTTTGGTTATCTCATTTCATCCCATACTCTTGAGCTCTTGTTGAGCTGGGGGTAATGTTGTGATTTTAATGTGCGTCAATAGTTTGTCAATAATTAGCTTTTATAATTACTGTTAAACAATTAAAATCTCTCCAGAGCAAAGCAAAATTTTGACATTGTGCAGTTGTCTATGTATTGATGTTTTCTACTGATGTTCTTTCTCAATTAGAAAAAAAACATTTTTTTTATTTAAACAAAAGTTTGTTGTAAAATAAATTTGCTCTAGCAGTCAAGCCTCATTGCTGTTGTATCTTTTTTTACAAATTGTCCAGCAATTAATCTTGTGTGACAGTTTTCAAAATTGTTTTTTTATAATTTTTTATTATATTTATTATTTAAATTATTTAATTACAGTAATACATTTAAATTTATTAAAACTTTACTTTATTAAAAAATATTATAAATAATAAATAAAAAATTACATTTTTTTCCTAAAACTGTAACTGTAACCTTCATGTTTGAAAAAAATATTTAAATTATTTTTGAACAAGTTTAAAATTTTTTTTCATCTTCCTGATTGATATGATTTATAAATTTCAAGTTTTTTT